TATTTTTACTAAGATTTCTAGTATTTTAATTTAGATTTCTAGTATTTTTAATTTATCTAAATTAGTTTATTATAATATTGTTATGTTTTTACTTGAAAGCTTCCTTGAAACACAACTCACTTGATTTTAAGAAAATTTGTAGGATTTTGCAAAAAAAGGACAAAAATAAGGCAAAATATAGTTTAGCATGCCCCAGACCGTGCTCATTAGCACGCCTGTGCTGAGTACAAGGCAAAACAAGTAAACAGTTAGAGGCGCGCACGCCCCAGCCCGTGCTAAGGCGCACGCCCATGCTCGTACTGGAGATAAAGACTTGGCCCGTGCAGCTGAAGCACGCCCGTGCTACATATGTTCCAGACTTCCAGAAGTGCGCACGCCCGTGCTCTGGAACCTCTCCAGACCGTGTTAGACAGCACGGCCCGGTGGCTAGACAGCACGGCCCGTGCTGAGACCTCTAGACTTCCAGAGCCTGGCACACCCCCAGACCGTGCCATTCAGCACGCCCGTGCCAAGCAAGAAATCCTGAATTTGAGTCAAAAGTTGACAACTAATTCCTACCATTTTCACAGCTTACTTTGAATACTTTCTTCACATTCCAGTCAAGCTTTAATCATATGCACATGGAAATCTATAATTGAGAGAAATTTATGGCTTGATTTAGAGCTTTTCCACCTCACAAAGTTGGACTTTATTCATTAAAGCATGTGGATTGCTCCCCTCAAGAAGTTTATATAAAGAAGGGAAGAAGTCATTCCAAAAATATCCACACATTGCATTACACTCCATTCCATAGTCTTCTTTCTCTCATTTTATAGCTTTGTATATAGTTTTATTCCTAGAAGTTAAGTATTCAAGAGTTGTGCAAAGTTTTAAGGAAGCCATCCAAGCAAGCCATCCAAGCAAAATTATCCACTAGTTCTTATTTTCTAAACTCTTAAATCTTATTTATTTTTTTCCATTGATTCTTATGATTATGACACCATATTTATCAAGTTATTATTGAGTTTTATTTAAAAGTGCCATGTTGTAAAATAAAATCTTATAGTAGGGCGTTTGATGTAGCTTAATGCTCTTTTTCAATTTATGCAATTAAATTATTTTTCCTTATTCAAGTTATGAATTTAATTGATGAACTTAAGGCTTTCCAGGCAGGAATTTTCCCCTGATTTGATTTTATTTCAATTATCACTATCGGAAGAAGGATCTTTTTGCATATGAAAGATTAATTTTAAAACACATGAGAATAATAAACTTGCATTGGGCAAAGTTATATGGTTTAGACTGCATGGAAGGTTTTTCATGATTTATCAAAAAACCCTAAATATGAAATCATATTCATAAACAACTATATAACTTAATGATTTGATTCATATTTGATTGCGCTATTGGAAGATAGGTAATTAAATGGAATTAAAATAGTTAGCAATACATCGGAAGAGCTTATTAGCGATTCAATAGTTGTTTCCCCTACTTGAATAATCAAATTGATCAATGAACTAATGAAATAAATTGGATAGGATTAAGTGAAATCAAAACCTCTAGTAGTTTCAATTCCTTGATTACTTTTAATCAAATTTTGTTTACTTGACTCTTGCTTATTTTACATTTATAAAACAATTTTCCCAATTATCGTTTAAATAATAACGAGATAACATAATTGTGGTACTTGGAATACAATCCTCGTGGGAACGATATCTTACTCATCATATATTACTTGTAGCGAATATTACTTGTAGCGATTAGTACATTTGCGAAATAAGCTGTCATAAAGTTAAAATAAATAAAAACTTTAAATGTCAATTTAACGTTCCCCTTTCTCAATATTCTATTTTCTCTTTTGTTCATTTTACATTTATAAAACAATTATCTCAATTATTGTTTAAATAATAACGAGATAACATAATTTTGGTACTTGGATTACAATCCTCATGGGAACGATATCTTACTCATCATATATTACAAGTACCTCCTCCAAAAATTACATTAGTATTACTTGTTAGCGATTAGTATTCTTTCACGACTTTATTTCAGTCAAATAATAACGAGATAACATAATTTTGGTACTTGGATTACAATCCTCATGGGAACGATATCTTACTCATCATATATTACTTGTAGCGATTAGTACACTTGCGAAATAAGCTGTCATAAAGTTAAAATAAATAAAAACTTTAAATGTCAATTTAACATTCCCCTTTCTCAATATTCTATTTTCTCTTTTGTGTAAATTTTTTTTTTTTAAATAAACTGAATCATATAAATTACGAAAGAGGACCAACATCCAACATAACAAAGTGAGGGGGAACCTCCTCCACGAGGATAAGCTCTTATAACTGAAGTAAGAGCATCTTTGGCAAGGAAATGACCCACTCTATTACATTCTCTACGACCATACACACAGCTTAAAGGACAGAAAAGATCAGTAGCCATACGCAGATTTAGGATCCGATTGCCAAATGCAGAAGTGACATTAGCTTGATTAAAAGCTTGCACCATGGAGAGGCATTCCGACTCCAGAATAATAGAGTTAAAACACAGCTCCTTCGCTCGATGAACATCAAAAAGAGCAGCTTCAGTCTGCCTTTATTGGCAACAAAGAATCCCGCACCTTCCTCATCCCTGACGCCAACATTGCACCCATTGAGTCTCGACACCATCCCATAGCCCACAAAACCATATACTAGCACCTTAGCATCAGAATTAGTTTTAATCCAACCCAAAGGTGGAGGAGACCAGTTTACTATTGCACTACAAGGGAGAGAGCCATGACAGTGAACCACAGCACCTTTGGTAATCAACTAACAGACCCAATGCTTGCTGCAGTATCTCAGGAATCGATAACAATTTTCTGCTGGAAAATCTTAACATTCCGAGCCATCCATAACGACCACAGCACCATTAAGAAGACCTCAGCCTGCTTTCTTTCACAACGCATAAATTTATCAAAGAACCAAACATCAAAACCATTATCAGCAGATTCTTTACGCAAGCGCAGGGGGCAGAGCATCCAAACTGCGCTCGCTATCGAACAGTCAACAAGAATATGGGCTACAGAGTCCACCCCATCTCCACATCGTTGGCACCATGGCTCAACTTTCACACCACGTCGTATCAGATTCTGATTGTCGTTAGAACATCCTTGAAATTTTTGAAATTTATTACTTTATTTTTTAAAAAAAATTTGGTTCAATGATTATTTTACCTGATGTATAATAATTAATTAATATATTTTCAAATATTTTTTAAATTATGAAAAAAAATTCTTTCATATCACGTTGTTTGTATTTCATTTTCCTTCCATCAAGTTTGATTTATAATCATAGATAATGCATATAGGTATTTTTACTTTCTTAAATTATTTTGATGGTTAAAAGGTGAATTTTTTTTATTCTTAATTGTATTTTAAATTTTTTTAGCAAAATTATATACTCCCCGTCTCATTTTATTTGCTTGTTGTTCCTTTTTTTAATGTTCCTTGATATTTGCAAGATATTATATATTTAAATATTTATTTTTCCACAATTACGTTTACGATTGTCCATTAAATGAATAATTTTTATTAATATCATAAAGAGTTAATAATAAAAACTATCTAAATAATTTTTGTTTATTAAATTCTTAATATGCATGTTTTATCAAACAATACTGACGAAAGAAGTATATATATATATTGAGATGTGTTTTTTAAATGGTGTTGTGAGATTATGTGTAGCTAGAGTGCATATTAGATAAATGGTAATTTATACATTTGAATTAAAATATACATATAATATTTTTGACAATCGTTTTATTAATTAATTAGCTTTATTCATGTTAATCTTAATATATAAAATTATATTTTAATATTATAAAATTTAAATAATATAAAAATAAAATTATGATCAATATTTAATGTTGATGATTAAAAGTTAGTCTATATCTATGCTATTACCATATATAAATGTGAAAATAGAAAGGGAATAATAAGATTTCCGATAATACTATTAATAAAATTTGAATATCTTAAAATCACTTTAACCAATTAAAAAATTATATTTTATTAATTGATTGGTTAAAAAATTATATTTTATTAATTGATTGGATATAATCTTATTAAAATTATTTAAAATAAATATATAATAGATAATTTTTTTTCAAGTATTCAAAATTTTTTAAGTTTTATGCTTTCTAAATTTATTATTTAAATAAATATATATGATACAAGATATTTGAAATTTTATATTTTATTTTTTAAAATATTTGAATTATATTTTTATTATAAGTTTAAAATATTTACCATAAAAGAGAAATTAAAAAAATATATTCTTTATGTTCGTATAATTTGATTAGATATATTTTTTTATAATTATTTTTTAAAAAATAAATTAAATATATATTTTGAAAAATAAATTTTCAAATAGAATATATATAATTAAGCCTTTTAAAATTTTAAATACTTTTATTTTTAAACAAAATAAATATATGTGTGAGAGGTGACGAACAATTGAAAAGCTTAGTTTTAAAAAAATATATATATAATATTTTATTATTATATCTATACTTTTTATATATCGAAATACATTTATTAGATGATATTGTAGGATTGTATATATAATTATAATGAATTTTAGATAAATGATGATTTAAATTGAATTGAAGTAAAACTACTAACTGTTATATTCACATTAATCTCATATGAAATTTTTATTTTAACATTATAAAAATTTAAATAATATAAGATAAAAATTATATCAATAGTTAATATTAAAAAATAAAATAAGTATAAATAATATGTAAAATTCAACAATGATATAAAAAATTCAAACGAATATAAATATAACAAGTCATATTTGCATATAAACATGTCAATGAGTGGATAATATTTTTAAAGATATCCACATATACAAACGCTGTCGTTTGTTACAAGCAGGGTGAGATTCGACAATTGGTACTCAGTAATATCTCCGGCATGATTATCGACAAATTCAATATCGCGTGTCCGATATCACACAGATCTCAAAACAACAAAAAAATCCAACGGCCAGGAAGTGAATACTATACTTAAAAATTGCATCTGAGTTTATCTCGTAAGAATTTTCTCTCCTTCTCTCTCTAAAATTTTTTCAACGGCCGAGCCGACCGGTGCTGACGTGCTAGAGAGAAATACACTTTCCCCCTCTTCGTTTCCAATAATCTCCTCTTATTAGATCTCACTCTCTCCTTCTCGATCTGGTACTTGTTCTTCTTTAAAATTTTCGTTTTCTTACTTTAAGTTTCCCCAATTTTTTCTGTTATAATCGTTTTATGTTAATTTTCACAAGCATTTTCCCTCTAGGGTTTGTTTTTTTTATTTTTTCTCGGGTTTTTTTGATTAGTAATTCTCCAATGGCTGCTGCACCTGCAAGAGCTCGTGCCGATTATGATTACCTTATAAAGCTTCTCTTGATCGGCGATAGCGGTATTTTTTTCTTTTGCATTTCTACCCTTTTAGAATTGCTACATCCGTTGAATTTAAATGTGATCTTCCTGTTTCTTTTTAGTTTTAGGTTCCGATTGATCGTATACATGTCGATCAATGGTGCGGATCCTGCTTATGAGGCATGAAAATGACTTACATTTCCAATGATTGATTTTACAATACTTTTATGTCCATATTGAACCTAACGTTCATTGCATAATTGGATATCAGATGGGTTAAGTTGTTATTTAAATGAGTGAGTGGCAGACCGTGAACGTGACTTTGTACAAGGATAGAGTTTGAAGGAATTGCTATTTTGTACATTTCCAAGGAATTGCTATGCTATTTTGTATTGATTGATTCTATGATTTTTGGTTCTTTATCATTGTCTGATTTAATGTTTCATTTATTTACTTTTCTCCATATTATTATGGGACTTATATAGGCTGCAAAGATCTTTCGGATGATAAATAGTTATTCAAGTATAGAACTATATAAATAGTTGTCTTGTCTTAGTCACACTTAAAGTAAATTAGATGAAATCTGTACCAACATCTGGTGCAAATTGATTTCATGGTAATTTTGTGTTTGCCCTTGATCAGTTTATCAAGGTTATCAAACTCAATGAATTGGCTACTGAAATGAAGTAATCATGTCAGAGTTTCCAATTCCAAGAAGATGACTATGGCAATATACGAGCTTTCCTTGTTATTCAAGTTGCATATTTAGTTGACTTATCAAGTGCAATTTTTTTTGTTAATATGGCAGTTTGTCTCAACTAAATCTTTTTGCTAATGTTTTATGATTGGCTTAGGGTCTTAAACATTTCATTATCAATGTGTCTTTACAGGTGTGGGTAAGAGTTGCCTTCTTTTACGTTTTTCTGATGGTTCCTTTACGACTAGTTTCATTACAACCATTGGGTAGGTGTTTTTTGATCTTAGATATGTTGGAGGCTTCTTTTTGTTTTGTCCTTGACTTGCTCTAAAATTGAAGGTTTAAATATTCTTTTGCAGAATTGATTTTAAGATAAGAACAATTGAGCTTGATGGAAAGCGAATCAAATTGCAAATCTGGGATACTGCTGGTCAAGAGCGTTTTCGAACAATTACAACTGGTTAGTCTCAGGCCTTGAATTTGCTTCTGAATTGCAATAAAATGTAATTATGCTGCTATTTAAATTAAAGAATAGACTTTTGTGTTCTTTTTTGTTCCTTATTTTTAAGTCATAGATGAAGTAATGCTGTTTGATGCTTCATTTGTTTGTATCTTAACACTTTTAGGCAGTAAGGTTTGCCGTTTCTTCACTGTCGTTATTTGAAAATATGTGAGCTTGTTCCTTGTTTAAGCCCAATATGTTTGATACAACAGCTAATAAGCTTTAATTAAGTGCTTACGAATTAATAAGTGGAAACCATCTAAAGGTGTGCAAATATTAATTAGTAAGTGCTTATGAATGACCACAAAGAAAAAGCACATCTATGATTGTTCTATACTTTTTTTCAGCCAACCAAATGCAGATTCTCCTTATCATTATAAATTAGAGAATATCTAGGAAATTAATATATTGTTGATTGCAAATATTTCATCCACAAAGGCTGCCTACCATTTTATTGCCAATCTTGTACGTTCTAGATTCTGCTCTGTAGAATTTTTATTTTCACTGATAATATGACTGGAAAGAAATCATATTAAGAAAAATAAAGACATAAGATGCTGGTCTCTTTATCTCTCCTTCAGTGCTTTGCTTTTTTAAAATATGGAGTTTAGCTTAAACACAGAATATCAGAGAAGTATTTTCTTGGTGTCTCATTGTTTATTGAATTGTCTTCTTATTTATTGAATTATATTGCATCCAGGGGTGAAAAGATTGATATTATACTTGGAAAAAGTAATGTATTTGGATAGTTGAAGGTATCTTAACACTTTTAGGCAGTAAGGTTTGCCGTTTCTTCACTGTCGTTATTTGAAAATATGTGAGCTTGTTCCTTGTTTAAGCCCAATATGTTTGATACAACAGCTAATAAGCTTTAATTAAGTGCTTACGAATTAATAAGTGGAAACCATCTAAAGGTGTGCAAATATTAATTAGTAAGTGCTTATGAATGACCACAAAGAAAAAGCACATCTATGATTGTTCTATACTTTTTTTCAGCCAACCAAATGCAGATTCTCCTTATCATTATAAATTAGAGAATATCTAGGAAATTAATATATTGTTGATTGCAAATATTTCATCCACAAAGGCTGCCTACCATTTTATTGCCAATCTTGTACGTTCTAGATTCTGCTCTGTAGAATTTTTATTTTCACTGATAATATGACTGGAAAGAAATCATATTAAGAAAAATAAAGACATAAGATGCTGGTCTCTTTATCTCTCCTTCAGTGCTTTGCTTTTTTAAAATATGGAGTTTAGCTTAAACACAGAATATCAGAGAAGTATTTTCTTGGTGTCTCATTGTTTATTGAATTGTCTTCTTATTTATTGAATTATATTGCATCCAGGGGTGAAAAGATTGATATTATACTTGGAAAAAGTAATGTATTTGGATAGTTGAAGATGAAAATGGAGGACTCGTTCTCTGAAAGTATAAACTGCTGCAAGCCACCTACACTGTTTCCAGTGTACACTTCATTGGGCTGCAATTATGCTCAGCTGGTTATGAGCACGTAGGATTTTGGTTCAATAAAGGCTCCCTTGAGTTTGTTTATCAAGCTCAGCAAGCCAAACTTGAACTCACCTTTGGTTTATTTGTCAAGGTCATAACTTGACCTCACTTCTAGAGCTCTTCTAATAAATGAAGCAAGCTTGAGTTGAGCCAACTGGTTGCTAATTTGATTTTGACTATAGTTTTTACGATTCTCATTTTTTTATCTTAAATGAAAAAGAACAGAAATAATTAAGTGTATTAAAGATTTTTTTATATTATTTTATTGCATAAAGTTTTGAATTTTTGTAATAGTTTGTATTATTACTTAGATTTGTCCAAAAAGATACTGACTAACTTTTTGCTCGGTTAGGCTTGTGAGCCAAATTTGAAAATATTTGGTGTGGTGTTACTTTTTAACTAAATGAGTTTGACCTGAGTGTGCTGGAGATCAGCTTAGTTCATTTGCAGCCTTTTGTGATGGATCAAGCAGATCTTTTTATCTGCTGATTTGCTCCTATGGAGAACCAAACTTTTCAGCAGGCTTTGACCTTTAAGGTATACATATGGGATGGTGGTGTATTGTCCTACCATATCCCTGTTGCATATAATATCTAGATTATTTTCTTTCTTTTTTTCCCTCTTGGATATGTATGCAGTTGTATGGAGCACTTCCATATGCAATATTGGTTTTGATGAAAGGACACCTGGAAGGCTGCAAGTTGCTTAGCTTCTCAGTCTTAGACTGAGTATGGTCGGAGTCTCCTGTAAAAAATCTGAAGCATGAAGGCATGCAATGTCCCCAGGATTTGCCTGATTTAACTTGGAAATACCATTAAGGCATAAGTTTAAAAAGAAATTGAACTGTAGAGTGGAGCTGCCTTTGTATGATTGGTAAACATTTCCAAAATATATCTTCTTATCTTTTGTAGTTCTGATCAACATTGTTTATTTGGAGTTAAATAAACATGCTGAATCTAGCTGAACCTGTTGTTATGTTATGTCAAACTTTTACAACCATAGCGCTATACGGCCTTTCTTCTTGTGGCAGTGGGATGTTGGCTCTTTGACAAGCTTGCTTGTTTTCACTTTCTTTGACTCAAAAGCGAGTACAAACAATTTCTGGCCTCTCCTAGTGGATTAAACATACCAAATGCTTGGTTCTGTGCATGCTCTCATGTTGGCTTTGGACCAGGGACTGGGAGTCTAGCTTCCAGAATCTCTCTAAGATTTTCTTATTTATTTTTACTGGCCTTTCTTTTGGAATTTCTTATTTCCTTTTTTACGCTCCAGAAATTTTTCATACTTATTTTAATTGCTTTTGGAGTTTGCTGAAACAGATTTCTGTTTTGCAGCTTATTATCGTGGAGCTATGGGTATTTTGCTTGTGTACGATGTGACCGATGAATCATCTTTTAACAGTAATTACTTACTCTAATTCATTCTTTTGTATGTCATTCTCATTGCTGCTTAGATAAATCTGAAATTATTTGTATTATCTTCCACAAAACTATACAATTGAGGAACTGACCATTGATGACGCTGTCGTTATTGCTTTTTGAATGTCAAGTATTTTATTGTACTCATTATCTTCTGCAACATTACCATTCTTTTCAAATATACTGATTTTAACTTATTTCTAGACATTAGGAATTGGATCCGTAATATTGAACAGCATGCTTCTGACAATGTGAACAAGATATTGGTGGGTAACAAGGCAGATATGGATGAAAGCAAAAGGGTCTGCTCTCTCTCTCTCTCTCTCTCTCTCTGCTTTAGTTTTATGTGCGCGCCCATGCAAATGTCTTACTGAGTCAAATTGACAATGTTTCTAGGCTGTTCCCACCTCGAAGGGCCAGGCTCTTGCAGATGAATATGGCATCAAGTTTTTTGAAACTGTACGTGGAATTTGTTGTTTAAGTTGAAATTAGCTAAAACTACTTGATTCTTTGTATATATGACAAAGACATTGTCTCACAGAGTGCAAAGACAAATTTAAATGTGGAGGAGGTTTTCTTTTCAATAGCTAGGGATATCAAGCAAAGGCTTGCAGATACTGACTCAAAGGCTGAGGTACTTAAAAGTTTTTGCTTATTGATGCCCTTTTTTTTTTTCACATGTAGTTGCAATTTCATTATGTATAATCTAGTTGGTTTTTTTGGCAATTATTCTTCTGTTAATTTTCAAAATCTAGATGTTATTCATCCATCAATATCTCACAACAATTTATGAAACATTGGCAGTAAGCCAAACTTGTGAATTTGAAGTTGTATATTTGAAACTTATTTTATTTGATCCTTGAATTTGATTTTCTACATCACTGATAAGCAAAACAAGATATTGACTCATGTTGAATTTGATGCTGTAAACTTTAGCCTAAACCTAGATTTTTAAGTTCTTTGCCTCAGTACTTTCTGATATTGAGCGCTTGGACATTGGATTTTGCAGCCACAGACAATCAAAATCAACCAAGCAGATCAGGCAGGAGGTGCCAATCAAGCTGCCCAAAAGTCAGCTTGCTGTGGTTCTTAAAGAAGCCATCTTGAAGACTGGGATTGCGTAGCTACATTCTCAGGCATGATGGAAACTAATTTTGTTACAACTATGTGATTGGTGCTTGTATTGTTGCCTCTCCTATCATTATTTTTTATGACTGTTCTGCACATTTGGGTGTGAATGCTAGGTCCTTATTTGAGAAATTAAATTAAATTATATTTTAGATCATTTTCCCTCAACTTCCATTTGATTTCTTCTTTAATGTTGATAATAGCTTGGAAGCAACAGCCCCATTCTTTTGTGCTCATTTTAGCTTGCGTTTCTATATTCTTTTTGTCAAAATTCTTTTGGAGATAGAATTATTTTGGTGGAAAGTAGATTTTGAGACATGATTTCAAGAATATTTTTTTTCTTGTACTAGAAAGGAATTGATGTTCTTGGACTAGTTTTTATGCACGGAGACAGTCTTTTCCTCAGGTGATTTTAAGGGTATGTTCTTACAAATTGAATGCTGGTGTTTTGGATTAATCCCATAAGAGGGTTTCAAGAAAAATAATATTTATCATATTTGGTTTGGAATAGATTTTCTTTTACATTATAAGATATTGTATTGGGTTAATTTTATGAAAAGGGCAAATAAGATGGAAGAAAATGACCATTTTAACCTCACTCCATAACCATGTTATAAATACAACAAAATTTTCATAGAAATATGATTAAAATGAAATAAAAACATTACTCAAACAATGCTTAATAAATATGGATATAGTTGCCTTGAAAGAATACTTTATCTATCTATGAAGACAATTCAAGAAAATTAATTGATTTGTGCAGTTTTTAAAACTGCGGAGAATGCTAAATATATCTAAATGTTATCGTAATTATTATGTTAATGTCAAGATATATATATTTTTTAGTATCTAATTTGAACAAAAATATAACACTTTTTGTTTTTTGGAACGAAATATTACTTATATCATCACTCCATAACCATTTATAAGATACAACCAAAATTTCATAAAAATATGATTAAAAGAAATAAAAACATTACTGCTATAAACCCGAATGACTTAATTAAATTATGTATAGTGTTGCTTGGAATAGAATACTTTACGTAATCTATGAAGACAATTTCAAGAAAATTACAGGTTGATTTGTTGCAGTCTTTTAAAACTTGGTGAGAATTGCTAAATTATATCTAAATGTTATCGTCATTTATTATGTTTAATGTCAAGACTATATATATTTTTAGTATCTAATTTGAACAAATAACAGTATAAACACTTTTTTGTTTTTGGAACGAAAAGAATTTTTAATTTACTTATATATATATATATATATCTATATATATCTTACAAAAGTACAGCACGATATTGAAGTATTGTCAACATTGGTCGGTAGCTCCGTTCTTTCTGTTCTGAACTAAAAGTCTCTAAATTTAACTATTTAGGATATAACACGAATCGTCGAGTTTCAATCTTTTGGCTGTATGAATTACAAGCTGAGTGAGTCACGTTCCGCTATTACCGAATTTTGTAGATACTTCAAACTAACAGAGACTTTAGGCATTCAAAATCACCGTTCTGCCTCCCTTTCGTCATCACTTTAACAGATAAAAGAATGGATATTAAAATATTCAGAAGATGTAACTTCTTGAAACATTAATAATGTATATAAAAATACAAAACACTGGAAGTTGGATGATTTTTTTTTCATACCTTCTAAGCAATTGGCTTATTGTAACACAAATTAGGGGAATTGCCCTTTCACAAATTGCTCGAAAGGGGCAACAACTAGGGACATGAAATGGAGGAGAACCCTCTTTAGATTATTGTCAATACAGATAAGGTTAAGGGAAAGCAAAGCAAAGCCTTTATTAGGGCCATTTTCTTTTCAGTCTTCTTAGTGTAACCCACCATCATTTTAACTTTGAAAAATATATACAAAAGTACAGCACATATGAAATTATCAACATTGGTCGGAGCTCTTTTTCTTTTAACTAAAAGTCTCAAATTTTAATATAGGATATAAAATCGTCGAGTTTCAATCTTTGGCATGAGAATTACAAGCTGAGTGAGTCACTTCCTATACCGAATTTGTAATACTCAAACTAACAGGAGACTTTAGATTCAAATCTCCTCTCCTCCTTTGATACTTTAACAGAAAAAGATGATATTAAAATATTCAGAAATTTAACTTCTTGAAACATTAATAAGTATATAAAAATACAACACTGAAGTGATTTTTTTCATGCCATTCTAGCAATGGCTTATTGTAACAAAATAGGGAATTGCCCTTTCATTGCTCGAAAGGCAACAACTAGACATGGAAATGGAGGAGACCCTCTTAGATTATTGCAATACAGATAAGGTTAAGGAAAAGCAAAGCAAGCTTTATTAGGCCATTTTCTTTTCAGTCTTCTTCAGTGTAACTCCACCATCATTTTCAATTTGAAAAAGTCTAACCCTAATTTTGACTTTTCAATCTTCCCAAACATAATGGCGTCAGATTTGTGATTTCTTCTCCTAAAATAAGAATAGTAGAAAAATTAAAGAGAAAGAAAATGAAGAGATCTCTTTTCAAAAGTTAACCGCCAATTGAATTGAATCAAATTTTCAAGATAATTTTAATTCTTTAATTGTCCTTAAAAACTAATAAATTCCCAACTTAGTGTTTGTTTGAAGAGTTTTGTAAATTTACGCAAAATGAGGATGAAGGAAGCACTCAAGTTCTTCCCTAGACTTCAAATCAAACAAGCGAAAGATAACATCTTTATCAACTAAGCCAAGTACTCTAAAGAATTGATTAAGAGATTTGGGATGGAGAGTAACAAGTCAAGTAGAATTTCAATGGCACAAACATTCAATTGGACAAAGATCAAAAATGAAAAAGAAAGAGTAACTTTCAATTGAAATTAACAAAATTAGAATAATATCCTATGAGAGCTTTTCAATTGGCTTTTCTTGCTGGTTCCTCACTTTCAAATCTTCAAAATTTGATTCCCTTCAAAATCTTTTGTTTATGTCTTCTCATTTGTTTCTTGGACACACGTTTATTTGTTTATTTGTCTTCCCACTTGATTTTTACTTTTGTAGCTTCCTCGACATATTTGATAATAGCTTCTTGGACACTTTTGTCTTTTGAAATTTTTATCTTTATATTTATTTCATATACAACCATTTTATATGGTCAAAAGTATATTACAACATATAGTATTTAGAGAAAAAAAGAAAATTTTAGTAAGTGAGTCCAACTGTTCGAAATTTTGGTTAATAAAAGCTCGTTTGAACTTGTTTAGTAAATTTATCAAGTCAAGTTATTAAATCATTTAATAAATAAGTCGAGTTTGAGTTCAATTTAGTAATTCGTGAGCCGATTAAACTAAGCTTACGAGCCAACTTGTGAGTCTATTTTATCGAGCGAATTGAGTTCAAAACTAATTCAATAAACTAAAATTATTTAAATTTACATTAAAACAATGTCATTTTGATTTGATAAATGTATAGCTTAAACTTGAACTGAGCTCATTTATGATTATCAAGCTGAATTTGAATAGAGTTCGAGTTTAAATATTTTCGAATGAGTTAAAGCTCAAACCGAACTTAAATTTAAGCATACTAGAGCTCAAACTAGGAAGTCCTTTTTTCATTGGGCTTCAATAATTTACCTCTCTTACTAATTAGTCAAAGTCTATCTCCACTATATATAATAATCTAACTTTGTCCCTAGATTAAATTTCAAATTTAAGTCATTCTGTTTTACAATCGGATGAAAACCAATTGGAATAATATATAATAAATCATTGTCTAATTAAAAAAATTTGCTTGAAACATTATACTTATTGTCGAGATTAAAATTTTCTTATAAATTACTACTTTTATTTTATTACATTTGATATTTTTCAATTTGTACAAAAATTAGAAAAATGGTTGAATTACCTTAATTTTACAAAAAAAAAAAAAGGTACTAAGCTATCCTTTTATGGATCTTCTAAATAATTAATAGTTTTTAATTGTGAAAGTACCAACGGATAAAGATAAAATTGAAAAAAAAAAAACTTCTTTAATTTTCTAAAAATGACAAGTAAAATAGAATAAAAAATTGAAAAAAATATGGAATTTAACAAAATATAGAAAACTAATTTTAGGAGAGAAATCATTCAATCAATCCTTTTTTTTTTTTTAATCTTGATTTCATATTTATTTTAAATATAATCAAATAAAATTCAATTCCTCGAAAATTCTTTAACGAGGTGAGACAATCTTTGAATGGTCAGAAACCTCTTTCTTCTTTTACCTTTTGTGGGCATTGCTTGCCTAGTGTGCAATTCACTTGCAAAATATAGGGGAGCACTAAGGTAGAAGCAATTAGCTAGGTTTGAGTGGCATCTACTGCTACTACTCTGACAATGTCTTCCACGTTGGTTGGGCAGAGGTAGTGGAATTTTGGATCGCAAATTAGATAACAATGCCCTCGTAAAGCATAACATCATAAGAATTATTGTTAAGTTTTTATAAAAGTATCAAATCCCCACTCAATCCTTTGACCGTTGACTGCCTCGCCTTTCAATTTAAAAACTGGAAAGCTGCCATGAAAACAAAACTACGTTAAAAGCCTTGTTGGGTTTCATGGTAGGCCTTGCTATGATTTTGATTTCGATTCTGAACTATGATTCAGATTCAGAATGGGATTGAAATCGAATGGTTCGAACCATGATCGATTGTATTCTCGATTCTAAACCAATATTGAAATAGTTTATATAATCATGTAATGGTTCGAGTACAACAATGATTCTCATAAAATAACTATTTCATGAAATAGTAAATTCATAACTTTCAATTTTAGTTCTTTTTTTAAATATGTAAAATTATATTACATGCAATAAATATTTTTTAAGTCTACGAAAAATACAAATTTCATAAGTATATTATATAATGCATTATATAAATAACAAATATTTCATTTTATACGATAACTATTTCATTTCACAAATTAAACAAGGCCTAAAATCTCAAATACTTCTAACTAAATTTTTGAGCATTCACATCCCATTATGGTTGCTGAATTTGGTCCTTGGTTATTTATTTTAATTTTTGATATTATAAATATCATTGAAATATTTTAATTTGCATTGCACATAACAAGGCTGAACCATCAAATAAAAAATTAAAAGAAAAGAAAAATAAAGGAGCGATCCGTATGCAAATCATGCTATTTTTTAGGTTAAAAATGCCATTAAATTGACATATTAGAGATTAACTATTTATCTTGTGGAGTAAAAATTT